TTCACGTATAAATGGAACTCAAAAACTCTTTAAATAAATACGAGTACAATTAGTAAGATTCATCTCATTAAGTAAGAACTATCCACATCCATCCATCCACTAATATTATAAATGTGAAAGTGTGTTTGTTTGTTTGTCCTTCTTTCACGTCGAAACAGAGTGACGGATTGGCGTGATTTTTTGTGTGGAGATAGTTAGAGGATCGGAGAGTGACATAGGCTAGTTTTTACCGCGGGAGATTATCTTACTCTCTTCCCTTCATGATCAAAATTATTTGAAACTTAGTATAAATGCTCTTCAATACAATTAAATTAATACGTTTTAGCATTTTTCATCGCATAATGGGGTAAAATAAGGAATGAGCTTTTGTATGGAATCTACTTTTTTAGAGCTTTTTTGTAGTTTTAGCCCGAGTGAAGCCGCGGATTCTGCTAGTTTACTATAATTTTGATTATGTTCTCGTTTTTCGCATTACGGCGTGTCATGATCACTGGTAATCCGAAGTATTTTCGAGTGGGTGTTGAAAATATTTATGGTCAGATTATTTATGTATGTAACTAAGACAGTGGTAGCCCAGTGGTAACATGCTTTCTTGGGATGTGATCCAAGTGAAGCGGGTTCAAATACCGGGTTCGTACCTCTGATATTTTCATGTGCGAATCATTTCCAAGATTACCACTTGTCTTACGGTGAAGGAAAACATCTTGAGGAAACCTGCATGTCTGAGAGAACCCAGCAAGTTTTCTAAAGACATGTGAAGTCCGCCAACTCAGACTTGGTCAGCGGGGTGGACTATAGTCTAATTTGATTTTGAAGGGAGGCATGTGCCCAGCTGTAGGACGTTAAAACTACTTACGCATTATATAGGATGACATAATAAAAATAATTTTAGTGGCCATAGAAACGAAAAATTATAATTGTCTCAAGTAAGAATCGAACTTATATCTCTTAATAATTATTCATATTCACTCATACAAGTTGACAATGAACAATTCTCATTCAAAGGAAAGTGATGTCATACACTCAAGCATTCTAATTTCTTAAAGTGAACTAAATGCAAACTTGGTTTTAGCAATTGTAACAAGTGTTTCTTGGAAACTCTGTTATTGAAATCAAAGCAATATAGAGCTATTTGATTTTCCTATAAATAACTAGTACTGATACTCGTCTTTACTTGCACGAAAATATAATATATTTTCTATTTTAATGGAGAAATACTGAAATTTAGAAGAAATTTTATGTGTAGGTCACCTATCACTTGAGAATGGTTAAATGGGGTTAATAAAACTTGTTATAGTGTATAAATAATTAAAATATACTGTATTTTCTTAGATATACTCGAATATTTAAGATTTTGAATTATTAATTAAAAACTATTTTTTTCGTAGCCATTCTATAAATCATTCACATCGAGAACAATAAATGAAAATAAAAATAAGTATATGAGAAAGTCCAAAAAAAAGTTGTTTTATTTAAAATAATAAATCTATTGAAATCGTACCCGCGACCTACTAGTAACAAGACAATTCCAACACATCACATTCTGTGCCACAACCGTCAACCAATTCACTTCATATTTTAGGAAGTCCCGTACTGGAATATAATAATATTATTTTATTTCTTTACTTACATTTTACAACTCTTTTAATATCCACTAGAGAGTATCCGCTCTTAAGCAATATTGTCAGTTTGGTCTCCGGGCAAACACCCATAAACGTTAAATACGCAATTCATACGCCTACATTTTAGTACCGTTATATACATATAAAATATATATTTAATAAAATTTTATTAAAAAATGTCCCTATGTTTGGTTTAAATTGTCTACAATGATTGGTTAGATTTTAAAAGATTTTTCTGTAAAATTTCTATATTGTAGATACATATCTTTGCTTAGGGATGTTCGGGTTTATGGAAGGTGAAATAAACAGAAGATCATTGCTTTACGACACATAAAATAGACGTAACTGCTCCCCCATAGAATTGCGATTTCTTTACGTGTAATTTTCGACATGAATACCGCTGTGGTGTAATGTGGGTAAAAGTGTAAATTATATGAAAATTGTGCTTGATGCGTTGTTTTATTAGGTTTTTATTGAAAGCTTAAATTTAAAACAACCTATAATACTATTTAGTCGATTCTTACTCGATTTTATCTGTTTGACGTTAAAAAACTCCAAATAAAACTATTTTCTAGTTTCTTAGATTATACTTTTCTACGATAAGCTATTAAATAATATATATAGTTTCATCAAAACCGGTGTAGTTTTAAATTTATAATATTAGTATAGATTAATGTGAGTAATGTAGATACACGAGAGTTACCTGCGATATTACGTTTTTGATACATTGTTCATTCGAGAGATAAGACGAGATATCGTTTTATCTGCGAGTATAGTGACTTATCCGCCATTTATTCTCAGCTTGTCCGAATAAATCATAATAAAGCTTCATATACACTGTGGTGTATGCGTAAGCGCCACAAATTGACACATTCGTTTTTTTATGTGGGAACTGTCTCAATTTACATATTTATATTTATAAATACTTTAATAATTTAATATTATTAGTTAATATAAAATATTTTTAATTAAGACAATTTGTTACTATCTTCCTTAGATGTACAGCTTTTGACTGTACCTCGCAACTTGCTGTGTACAATTTCAAAGAGAGAGGGAGAGAAAATCAAACCTACAACATTATGCTAACGTGCCAAGCTCGCAATATTCCTACCACTGAGCTATTTATCGCTATCTAATATAACCCAGAATATTTCACAGTGATAAGAAACTGTTCCTTCTTCACCGCCATTAATTCAAAGTGTTTACAAATAAATAATAATAAAGTATGTCCACACAATACGCTATGCGTACGCGTCAGATACACACGTAGTGGGTGACGTATCAATTTCGTTGGAAACCGGCACTATCGGTTAAATCTGGTGTCGCCTTCTTACTTTTTTATTTATTACCGGCCATCTCACGTATGTATGTAAGATGTACAAATGCATCGACCACACGACACGATACAACGGTGAAAGTTGCAAAACTTGGAAAACTTTTATCGTGATGCAAGCTTGCAAGTATTGTTTTGTATAATAATACTACAAATAAAATTGTAGGTATGTCGTATGTTGTTACACTGTTTGGATATTTTTGTATTCATTTTCATTCATTATCGTATACGATAAGTTGTCACCACTACATTTTTTTCTTTCCAACATCGCGTACATAAACAGTTAAAGTTGCTTAGAATATTTGTCTTCAAACTGATGTTAGTAGCGATTTAATTAGGACAAAATGTGTTTTGAGTTGGGATAGAAGCAGAAATTGCATTTCTTAGCAATATAGTCATCACTAAATTGTCTGTGTCCTGCAAAGAAAAGTATTTAAAGATGAACATACTGATGCACGTTCTATATCTTCCAGAATCCACACTTAATAACAAAAGTTAAACACTGTAGCTTTTAATGGTCCAAAAGGCTGACATTATACTAATATTATTATAAAAAGGCAGAGTTTGTTTATTTGTTTGTTTGTTTGAACGCGCTAATCTCAGCAATTGCTAATCCGATTAAAAAAAATATTTTTGCATTAGATAGCCTGTTTATTGAGGAAGGCTGTAAGCTATATATCATATAATATATAGGCTATATATTATTATTTAAAAAGTATCTAGGGACGAACCCGAGCAAAGCGAGGATGAGTCGCTAGTTTTGATACAAATTAGTATACGAATACCTTAAGAACATAGACCATTTCAGAAACGATGTCTTAGTAAGCGAAAAAAGCTTATAAAGTAATATAAAGTTTTCTTTTATTTAAAGTAATAAATAATATTCTCTCATAGTAACTTGAGTAAGTCACGTCTCTACCGCCGGTATCGACCGGGGAGTCGAACAGGTAAATAATTTACACACAGCCTGCTGTATGGTCTCGCGGGAGCCTCCCTCGCAAAAACCAATGTCATTAGATACGTACCGGTGTAACTTACATAGTAATTTTTCTATGGTTTATTTCTTTAACAATTTCTCTTCAAATATAACTAATTTTGTCTTGAAATGGTTTTAAATAATTAATTAATATTATAGCTGTTGGAATCTTAATATCTACCCATAAATATATGCCACAAAGGCTGCTATAGAGAAATATAATGTATTGATTTGTTACTTTTTATTATATTTTTAACGAGCGTAAAACATAGCGTATTTACTTATAACATACCTAATATGTTGGGACATTAACACACAGCACCATCTAGTTCCATGGTAAGCTACGAGACTTGTGTTATGGATACCACATAGTTGATACTCTACACATATATAAATTTAAATACATACAAACTTATTATAATTATAAATATCCATGACTTGAGTACACACATTCATGCTCATCACACACATGTTTGCACCCAGCGAGACTCGAACCTGCGACCACTGGCACAGCAAGTAGAGTCACAAGCTGAACCAAACGTGTCGTCAAAACTTGTACATGAATGAAATCGCTGCAGCTAGTCGCATAAAAAATCATTCTACCACTTCACCAAATCGTCATCTAATTAATCTATATACTAATAAATGGAGAGCCGATTTTTTTGTTCGGTTATACTGCGATAACTACTGAACCGATCGGAATAATACTCATACCATAAGATGTAGCGTGTTTCGGAGAAGGTTTTAGTATATGATATGTTGGTGATTAATGTACTATGCGGGCGGAGCCGCAGAAAAATGCTAGTTTGCATATAAGCATGATGTCAGTCTGTGACTAAAATGATAAGCGTAATATTCGATAAAAACCACCTGTATAGCTAATATAAAAAACACAATTTTAAATATTCCAAACAACATTAAACTAACTTAATCTTAATAAATTGCCTCTATAATAGATTTCGAAACGAATTCAAAAGGCAATTTTATTTAAATTCACATACAAAACAACCAGAATTAGATTAGCGATGTCGCAAATTCGATTTGTCTCATAGTGATTGTTTTGTTGCAGCATCCGTACCCTTCGGAAGATCAGAAGAAGCAATTGGCACAAGATACAGGGTTAACGATACTACAAGTAAATAATTGGTAAGTTATATTACGTTTTAAATATATTTCTAATATACTTTAATTTTTTAAATAATTATGGGTTCAATAGAACATTAATCTCTTAATTCTGGATGACAGATCGACAGTCATACAATGAAAATTTTATGTAATTATATATTAGGCAGAGATGGTTCAGTGGTAACGGCACCACCAAGTGAAGAGGGTTCAAATCCTGGGTCTCGCACCTTTGGTATTACCTTACTGTGAAGGAAAACATATGCATGTCTGAGAGAACTTAGCAAGTTTTCGAAAGACATGTGCACTCCGCCAACCCGTACTTGGCCAGCGTGATGGACTATGACTATCGTATTGAAGGGGGCCCCGTGCCCATACATATATTTTCTAGCGGCTAAAAGATATAAAAAAAGATTTATCACCACCACTGATAAGTCCTTGATTTTAAAGGACCATTCTTAGTTAGGTGTAACACTTTGTATTATATTCAATACAAAATAACAAAAATAATTTAAAATTACACAAACACATAAACAGTCAATCTTTTAGTATATATATTCTTATTTCTATAATAAAAATAGAAATAGAATTTCAAAAAGCAATTGAAGACACATTATAAATTCATTCTCGCGTCTAACTCAAATAGTAAGTTTAGTATGAGATCGTTTCGCTGTAACATTTTCCATGTAGTTAACCTAAAACGACGAAGTACCGTTCGAATAAATTGAACATCAGGTTGCCATTACACATGAAGTGTTCAAAGTTGCAATGAAAGCTGTTGTGATTTTCTCATTTTATTGTATCGATGTTTTAACATATTAGTGTATATTACTTTGGGCATGTCTATTTATTTAAAAAAAAATTCAATTTCGACCATAATCATTGTTGAAAATTTTGAGGAAAACAAAAATAGAATTTACGTGTATTACTTATATAAAAGGTAGTGGTAGCTCAGTAGTAACGCATTCGCTTGGGAGACCGAGTGAAGCGGGTTCAAATCCCGGGTCTCGCACCTCTTATAATTTCATTTGCGAATCATTTCCTACATGATTGTCCACTTGTCTTACGAAGAAGGAAAACATTGTGAGGAAACCTGCATGTCTAAGAGAACCTAACAAGTTTTCGAAAGGCATGTGATGTCCGCCAACCCGCACTTGGCCAGCGTGGTGGACTATGACCTGATCCCACTCGTATTGAAGGGAGGCCCGTGCCCAGCAGTGGGATGTTAAAAAAGGCTGAATACAAACCTATATACGTATAAAAAGCTAACTGTATTTAAAAACATAATTAATAACACTAAAACTCGTCAATAGCTACTAAACATTAAAAAAAAGAAAATCGGTTGAAAAACAGAGGAAAAGAAGGCACTGGACTGTTTTGTCTTCGCCTATTTGTATATAGATATGTAGTCGGTTAAACACTTGCAATATTTGCATGCAAATATTATACTATTTATAAGCTATTTTGCCGACACCATAAACGATTCTGGCGGAAATGACATGTATGTAGATGAAATGCTGCGCCAAAAATTCCGTTAGATTTTATTCATTTTTAAAGCTAAATTTAGCAAAGTTCTATCAATTTAATTAGATTCGGAAGGCGTGTAAAGTATTGAAGTATTTTATTGAATCTATCTATATAAATAAAAATGAATGTTGCTAAGCGCAAAACTCGAGAAGGGCTCGACCAATTCAGCAATTTTTTTTTCGTTTGTTCCTTGAGGTAGGTACACGGTAAGTTTTAATACAGAGAAAAAATAATAATTTATGTATATATATGTATATAAAACAAAGTCATGTTAGTTACACCATTTATAACTCAAGAACGGCTGGACCAATTTTTGTGATATTAGATTTTTTGGTTTTCTCTTAGTCCGGAATAGAATAATAAGTATTAATACATCAGAAAATTAAACTAAAAAAATTTAAATTTATATGGCTAACGCTGATATAACTATTTATCTATATTTATATATATAAAAATGAATCCCTATTTCCCTTGGTCACGCCATCACGCGTGAACTTCTGGACCGATTTAACTTTTTTTTTTGTTGTTTATATATATATATGTATGTATATATATATATATATATATATATATATATATATATATATACATTGAATATTATATTATTTTTAAAATAAACAAACAGATATTGGTGTTGTAGTATATATGTATAAAGTATTATATACTTAAAATCAAGAGTTATTCACAAAGAGGGCAACTTGTTTTTCATTATAATATAAGTAATGTTGAATGTTCATGTATAGAAATCAGAATGTAGGTATCATTATATCGCCAACGCATTTGTACCCGTAACCTGACTCTTGATCTTTTCGCAAATTAGGATGCACACACGGTACTTTAGTCGAAAATATTATATGAAAAATATTTGTCTGTTTGTTTGACATTTGCTTGATTATAATATATACTAGAGATCTTTCTAGAGATGAAGATAAAGTTTGTGAGTTTGTGACATTGTAGGGGGTAAACTTTGGATCTACTGAACCGATTTAGATTAAATTTGGTGAGAAGATAGTTTGAGACCTTGGGAAAGACATAAGATACTTCTTATCCCGGAAAACATCCATTAAGTTGGTGAAAATGGGGATGAAAGTTTGTATTGGGTGGCAAGCTAGAGACGAACGCCAGTGTACTGTATACCCTGTCTATTTGTTACGTAGTCTAATTTAATTTCGAAATTCAAATTGTTATTTATTTCTTGCAAAATGTAATAAAGCAGAGAGAAATATAACTGCTTAGTTATATACACTCCATTTTGAAGTACCTACGTAGTAAATGTTAGTAAAATTCTATCCTGCTATTGCATGGCAGCTTTGCTTCTAACATTTAAATTCTGCTAAATGCTTAGACATATCCGCCTCCATAAAAACTGAAATATTCCATAATAAACTTGAGTCTTCACGACTTTGATAAGAAAGCCCAAAGGACACTCGAATCTCACTCAAAATGTGTAAATAACATCAAAAATCTTTTAAATAAAATTACCTACACGCAAATCGAAGCAAAATAAACAAGTATGCAAAGCTGTCCGTGTGAGATGTCCTCTCGTATGGAAATATCGTGATTATTTCAGGCAACATAAAATATCAAGTTTTACGACCGCGACCGGCACCTAGCAGTAAATGTTTATATTAATGTAGTGGATTCTGCTAAGTAAATGCTAGAATACTATAAAAATATAACTAAGATATGCTTCTTGGAACTTATCATTTCGATTCGAAATGAGTGTTGAAAAATAATAGTAATTCTACACAGTCCTGTTAGTTATTAAGTAAAATTTTGCGTTTTAAGAAAACGTTCATTTAGATAAACTTGCTATGCATATAAAATTTTAGAATGTTTTAGTGTTTTTTACGACATTAATCTTGAGAATGAAAATAAATAAATAAAAGATTGAGGTCGTGTTTAAAAAATATGAGTTTTCACTTCAAGTTCTATTATATCTTAACTATCTCGTATGTACTTTATTTACAGTTTAGAGACAGTCCTATTTATAATGTTAATAAGAATTTGATAATTTAGAAAATTATTTTTTTATTGTTTTCTTAGTTTATGTACGCGGCTCCACTCACGTGACAGGTACATCGGTAAAAAATACTTGTATCAAAATCAATCAGTCCAAGAGTAAATATTTTTATAAATTTCATCTGATATTGAAAAAAAAATCGATTGTTACCCATTTAGAATATCATTCAAATATGTTGAGTCGTTACAGCGTCAATAAGCAAACTCACTCACTGCTCAAACACGCTCACTCACAGACTCACAAACTTTAGTCTTTATAATACTAGCGACTTATAATGGATTTGACGTGCATCCTTACGTGCCTTTTATATTTATAACTAGCGGCCAACTCTCGCTTCGCTCGGGTTCGCCTCTAGGAAAACAAAAAAAATCTATCCCACAGGAACCGTATATTGTTCCAGGATAAAACCTACGTGTATTCTGATGTATGAGGTATAATATTGTAAAGTTTCATTAAAATCTATTCAGTACATTTTGCGTCATCCTCACAAGCTTTCGCATTTATAATATTAGTAGGATACAATACATAGCGCCATCTTTTGGCAAATTGTATAACTAACAGTAGTCTGTTACTCTAGATCATAATCTGTGTACTAAGTTTTATATAAATCAGTCCAGCTATTTTGACGGGAAAGAGTAACAAACAAACATACACACATACAAACTCTCGTTATTATACTCGTAGAAGTGATTAGTGTGAAACATATTCAACAATAAGAAAAAATGGCTATTTAAATTTCTTTCAAAACGTAATATTAATAATTTTATATACGAGCGTAATATACAAAAAAAACAACAAAAAGAATCGAACCCACTACACTAGTAATAAAGGTGATTTAAAACGACACATGCAATTTGTTAATACCTACGTGTACTCGTAGGCGCGGGCGCATCATGGACGCTAATAAAACGTACGACAAATTGACCATCGCCAACCAGATATGGACTAAGCCCTTTTTGTTATTGAATTGCGATTTATTTATTATTCAAATATGTGAATGGGTGGGCTGTGAATTGTGCTATCTTTTATATCTTTCCTTATCTAAATATATATAAAATGGGGGCGGAGTCTGTGTGTAAAGTACTTGTTTGTGTTTGCGAGGTTATTCGAAAGGGTGGATGTATTTAAGATTTTAATTAAGTAATTCATAGCTGCCTTAGTCTCATTTTAATATAATCTCATTTTAATAGAAAGCTACACTAGGATATAGGCTATATTTTATTTTGATTTAAAAGTTTTCATTTTTAAATCTTAATATTTGCAAATCAAATCAGAGTAAATAATCGCTTTACCTGCCTGCCAAAAATCTAAATAAATTTGAAAAAAAATCGAAGAGATAGTTTTATTTAAAACTAGCGACTTGCCCTCGGTTCTCTCGGGTGTGTCGATAGGTAAAAGGTGTTTTAAATATAAATAGTTATTGCAAGTGCACCTTTGGAGATAGACTTATGCTTGATATTGCGGAATTTTTATAG